TCCCTCAATACCCATATGAATCTCTGCTCGCTTTTCTCCAACCCAATTGCTATTTCCTTAATTTGTTCATCAGAAAACGTAGTCGTCGTCCCGAAAGACACGAATATGACAGAATTTGGTTCTTGTTCATCAAGCCAATTCATACATTTATGTGAAATTAATGAATTATTTTTCTCATACAGTTTCACCGGGTTTAATGGACCAATAGCCCATTGTTTATCACGCGAACTTTTCTCTTTTGCTAGCCAATCAAGATACAATCCTTCAATTTCATAGCAAGAATTGTATAAATTACCAGAATTAACAATTTCCCTGACCTCAAATTGTACTCTGGTATACTCTGTAAACTCCGGCGTAACAGAGGATTTATCCCAAGAGTAAGAATCGAAAAAGCTGAAATGCTACGAAAGCTGTAAACACTCAATATTTGGTATAGAAGGAGCATCTTGAAGAACCCAAGCTATTAAAGAATCGTAAATAACAATTACTCTTCTGTAATTTCTGGAAAGTTCTTGTAAAAGGGAAGTAATCGGGTGACGAAGATGACTCGTGGCGTGGAAAGAGGGCATCAATTGGGAAGGGAATTTGGTGGTGGAATTTGGATTAGGAGCTGGGGTTTCGTAATTTGGGGTTGGGAATTCGTGGAATTTGACGGTAGAGGTGGAGAGTGGGTTCCAGCCATGGATGCGATTTTTTGCTTGACGGAGGTGGACGGTGGTTCCGGCGAAGTGGAGTGGGAGGTGATAGGCGGAGATGAGACGGGACAGGTGGAGGAGTTGGTTTAAATGGCCTTGGGCTGGTAATGGAACCATTACTATGGCAACTTCTTGATTGGTAAGTTTCGCCATGGAAGAACGGAGCTTTTTTGCTGACTTGTTGGAAAACTGTTGCTTACAATTGGGTGTATTTAAAGGTGCAATTGGTAGGATGCAATTTACTATTATTTTTTTTCCATCCAGTATCCGGTATCCACTTTAGAGCTCGACTAAATACGAATTTGCGCCGAAAAGTTCACATTGGAATAAAACGCTCCCTAACAAAAGCAACTTCATACCCAAGGGATTCAAATTCGAGACTTCTTGGTTAAGAATGAAGGAATATTTATCATTCCACCACAACCGGTCACTATTTCAATTATATAGAAGAGCATTAAAGTGGACGACCAATAATTTTTTTGTAAAGAATTAACTTTATTAAGGTTAAAACTATAATTATAATATCAATGGTTAATATGAAATTCTAGAAGGATTTTTTTTTAAAATCAAGTAATTTCTACGAAAGATAAGAGATATTCTTAGCTTTTCTTAAAGGGAAAATTGTACATAATGACAAACTATTAATTCAAATTAAATGGTATAATCACACTTTGATTTAATTGTGTCCTGTAGCAAACTGTTTGCCAGCACTTCTCTCCCTCAAACTCTCGCTCGCCACTCTCCTCTCTCGCTCACTCCCTCTGTGCTCGCATCTCTCGCTTTATACAACAGAAGTGTATAAATTGCGTTTCTGTTTGTATAAAGCGAGAGAAAATTGTATATACACATGCAAATACATAATATTCGTCCTATACACTTATAATTATACAATAAAAATATTC